ACTCTGAGTCTGGAGCCCGTGCCGATGTTAATTAACCCAGCCTTCTTTCACTTGAGTGGTTCCGTGATGAAGTGTGTGTCGTTGCGCGCCCCCGCCCCTGGATAGCCCCCCGCTCATGGCTCCCTCCCACGCAAAAGCAGTCCCGCCTTCCACGTCCAGGCGATATTCAACTTTAGTCGGCCGCCTTCCACCGAGCAGCAGGAGGAGCCTCTCTTGCGCGACCGATTTTCATCCACCATCTTTGGCCCGGAGTGTTCGAGCGAAAATCGGTGAAGACTCGATCGAGACCCCCGGAAAAGATGCGAGAACGCAGAACAGCTTATGATGGTCAAAACAGAAAGTTACAAATGTACAAACAAAAAAAGCCGGGGGCCAGAACAGAAAAAAAAAACGAATGGACCAGATAAGAGGTCATGAGGGCCTTGCGAGACGACTCGTTCATCGAAACCATTTCCCCGTGAACGAACCATTAGGATCAAAAGCCTTGATGGTCTCTCCCTGCTTGACCGTTTCCCAGGGGTGGCGATTCTCCCTATTTTCACAGCGACGATGTGAGTCATTTGCAAACGCCTGCGAAAGATAGAGAGGAGAGGAGAGCAAATGCGCTTACATGGTCCAGCAAACGTCCGGATGGTGCAGATTGTGGTACTCAAAGTATGTCGCCATGCTGAAAACGAAGCCGACGCCAGCCCACTGAGGATATTGGAGTGAGACCTCGTGAGAAGTTCGAAAGAGGTGCGAAGGGGGCCGCGCGGTATACAAAAAAAAGGCCCTCTCTTACCAGTGGATAAACGGCGGTGGGTACCCTTTTCCACGTGTAGTGAGGCATTGGGTAGTTTTTCTCAGGGGAGAGGAGAGAGTTGCGAGCGAAGGATAGGCGATGGGACGTCCCCGACGACTCAACTCGTTTATGGACTTGGGTCCGGTCGAAGGAGGACACCATCGGCCATGCGATTTGCCACTCTCTCGCAGCAGTCGAAAGGGTTGCGACAATCAACTTGATATTCCGGGTGTACAGAGTATCAGCACAGCATGCAGGAAGACGGAAGGCGGGGTTGCGTCGGGTCAGATATGTCAAAACGATTGAACGATACGAAGAAGAAAAAATGGCAGATGAACTAATCTCTCGATCAAGGCTTCTTAAGAGAGGAGAATGACGTCTTGATTCCGAAGTTCGGAACTCCGCATTCCGGACGCGCCGGTTGCCTGCACCTCACATGCGCCATCGTGATAGTTCCCTTCCACTTGATGAAGAGTGGGAAGGCACTCCATTCGCGTGAGGTGGCGAGAAGTGGAGAGGGGTATCACGCGACCTCCAACTCGATCTTCTCCCGATACTAGCACGCAAAACCACCGCCCAGCCCTGCTTGCCAATTTGCGGCAACTTCGTCCTTCCCCGACGGTGCCAAGATCAGTTCTTCCTTTCTCCCTCCTCCCTCCCCCCCGGAGAAGCGGATGTGTTCACCGCCTCGACCATGCCAAGCTCGAGCGTCAATGTCGGACACGTGGCGGATGGACTGCGGTGTGTCGCGGTTACTAAATAACGTTGGGCTGATCGCAGGAGTGCGCTTCGGCCAGCACTGCAACAATCAGCGTGTGATGCCAGGTGTGCGGGGTTTATCCGCAGAGGATGCAGAAGGAGGACCGCAGCATGCAGGAGATGGTCGAAGGCAGTGTGCCGTCGGGCCGGCCGTCTAAAACACCATCAAGCGATACGACAAAATAAAGACGAAACGACAGGTCAAGGTTCCAAGAGAACAGACAGACTGTTAGAAATGTGGACCTCCGAAACCCCTGCGCCGTCTGCCGCTTTGCCCGAGACGCCCTGACATTGACTCTCCCCTTGATAATACCTTTTTAAAATGAAGTGAACGGGGAGTGAGGGTGGCCCTCGATTCAAGTCAGGTGGGAGGGGCAAGAAATGGAGGGAGGAAACGAATCACTGCTGGCAACATCCCCCCCCCCCCCCCATGTCCGCCATCGGAAGTCGCACACTCCCATTGCCGGCCTCCGGGCTCGCACCCCACCCCCTTCGGTCTTGGATCGTACCTCCAGGCTCGCGTCCCGTGACGTCCCTGGAGAGGCCACGAAAACTTTTTTCAACATACTCCGCCCGCTGCAAACCAGTGAACTCGCAGGCTGCGGTTGTAAAAGGTGATGATAACGCTTCACGAATCTTGGCAAACACCCCACAACCGGAGCCAGTGAAGGGAACACAGCCACTAGTCCAACTTATCCCTAGCCCTTCTAGATGCTCGCACTCAGGATCGAACTGAGGACCTTATCCGTGTGAAGGAGACGTCATACCACTAGACCATGCGAGCTTGATCATAATGCATTAAAATGGTTATTGAACTTTATGTGTTTTTTCAAAAAGTTGTAGCTTTAATGGATTATCGTCTGTATGCCTTTGTTCACTTCGGCGACATTCCAACCTTAACCCTATAATCGACTGCATGGATCTAATTTAGGCGTTTTTTGACCTCTTTTCAAAGACTACTTCCCCCCCTCTCACCTTGGGTATTTTGGAGGGTACCCAGCCCCTTGGGTGGCCTTGTTCATCGCTCCCAACCCCCTAACTCGACCTCCCAGTGTCGGATCATACAAACAGATCCGTGGATCCAAAAACTTAGAACCCAGAAAGCTAAGCTTTCCAAGGAGGTTTGACCCAAAAAAGTTGGCCATTTCCTTCATGCAGCCCCGAGCTCGATTCCTGCGAGTTCTCCCTCATTTTCTATCTTCGGCGGGCAGGGTGGAGGAGGGGGTCGAATTTTGACGCGACCTTTCTCCACCCCTCCTCCGGCCCAGTGCTAGACACCTTGGCTCAAAACCCCCACCACACTTCCCCTGATGCTGTGCAAGCTGAGGGATGGCGGGGGGCCGGGCGGAGTGGAGCACAAATGCTAACTCGGCCTCTCTTGCTGCACTCGGGCGCCCGCGAGGTCTGAAGCTGAGGGCCCAGCCCAAGGCGCGTGAGAGGGAAAGTTGTTTCTATGTGTCCACCAAAGCCGCCTGCAGCAGGGCGGGGGCTGGGGGGGAGTGGGGCACTGGCTCCCCTCAGAGGCCGTTTTTGGATCCATGGATCCAGCCCGCTTTCAAGCGCGTTCGGGTCCAATGCCGGCTCTGTTGCAACAGTCCGCCCAAAACCCAAAACTGCGTTTCACTCTGATACAGAGTTTCAGACGTGGTTGGAGCACATCCCTATGCGGTTGTTGGGGTGAGAACTGCCGCACGTCGTTACCTTAAGAGGGGGAAGGAAAAAGACTCTGATAAAACGAAAATAACGCGCCATGGATCCAAAATGGTGAAGTTCTGCCCCTGCTGAATTCAGACAGCATCAGTAACCAACCTCGCACCCCGACGCGTGCAGCGCCCTCTTCTCCCCGCAGAGCTCGTCGACCACATCCTCGACCCACCCTGATCTCGGAGTTTCTATCCTCCTCCAGCGCCGAGGAGGACCCTCACTTGGTCCTTCCCCGATGCTTCCACGACACCGAAACCTGTAATGCTCATCACTGGCTGATGTGCGACTATAGGGGATGGGGTGATTCGTAATTTTGCAGATGATGTGTGTCTGCAGTCTCTGACCCCGAGCACAAACCCCGCGCTCTGCCCCCCCCCCCCCCGGCAGATGATCGGTGACAAGTCAACAGTAAACACAAAAACACCCAATGCGGGAATCACGACCCCCCCCCCTATAGTCGCACATTAGCCAGTGATGAGCATTACAGGTTTCGGTNCCCCCCTTACTTTAGTAGGGAGAGCGAAAGGATAGGGTAATCTTCCCGAAGAAAAAAAAAACCCCCCGAAACGATGACATCTTCATTTCCCCTGGGGGAACGACCCCAAGGTGGATTGGCAAACGGGATCGTCATCAGCTGCGCGCGCCACCTGCGACTTCTTTTTGCTGTTCCATCCAAGGCTGTTGACCCCGTGCTCCCCCTACTCAGAACCATGCAAAAAACCTTCAAATCAGCCCCCCCCCCCCCCACCACCACCACCACCAGGATCTCCCGCTTGCATCCTCTATTTCCAGCGACAAAACGGGGACGCATCTCCACTTGTGGCGAGCACCAGAATCACTCGCCAACTGACACATGATGGGGGGGGGGGGGGGGCAGACCACTGAAAATTGATTTTGCAGCGCGACTCACGCCTGAGACAGGATTCGCCTGGAAAACTCGCACTCCGCGCACCCCCCTCCCCCCCGGTAACCCTCGGTCCCACAGTCTCTTCTCCCCATCTACGTTCAAGCTTGATCGAGAAAACAGAGCATCTCCACGTGTGGTGAGCACCAGAATCATTCGCTGACCCATGCCTGATGGGGTTACATACCCACTTCCAAATGGGACATTGCAACGCGCATCGCAAACTGAGACCGAACGCTCGACTGAAAAAGGAGTGGGGGATTTTGGGACTCGGTGATTGAGAGAGACGGGGTCGCCAGGGGTTTGCACTCTCGGCCGACAAAGTGGGGCTTTTTGGCCGGGGAGGCTGAGCAATGAGTGGTTACAAAAACAAACTTGATTTGATCCAGCTCGTTGTATTACTGCGACGAGGGGCGACCCCGAACCTCACCAGCAGTTCTAGTTTCAGACGGTCGAATTGATTGGCAGGAAGTCTTGACCTTAGTATGCAGTCGGGGAGATGTCATCCCCGGCCATCAAGGAAAACCCGCTCCGCAACCCCCACCCCCCTCGTAACCCTCACCCCTTCAATCGTTCCTCCTCCTCCCCACTCAACCTCTCCCGTTACAGCCCCCCCCCCTTCCCAAATGCACAATTGGGGGCTGTAACGGGACCATGCCCCAACGCGCTGACTGTTGCCTCCCTCCCTCCCGGCATGCGAAAGATGTCAGGAAAAATTGAAATCCCCTCCCCCTCCATAGCCAGACCTTTTTCCCCGCCGTTTCAACTCTTGCCCAGCTCGGAGCGTCGGGAGGGGGATGTCCGGGATGCCCGACCGTGTTTGAGCACCTGTGGCGCATAGACTGCGGTGTGGCGCACGTCCTATAATTGCTTCTTTTCATTTCCGGAGGTCTTTCGACAGTTGAAAATCACCAAGCTGGTGATCAGGCATCAGAAAGTTCTTGAAAGGCCCCGACCACACACCCCAACCCCATCAACCAAAACCGTATTCGTCAACAGCGCACTATAGTCAATAATATGTAAGGGGGGGAAATAAGAGAAATAGGCTTCCTATACAAAGCTATCCCGCTCTCAGCTGCTTATTCAGGGGGGGGGGAGTACTAATCAACGCTTCTGGATAACCTCATGACGCTCTCGTATACCAAGATGGCGCAACCATTTGTTGGGAAGGAGCGGAGGAAACAGGGTGTGAAGCCGCTGGGGGTAGGGGTAGGGGGG